AATAAAAAAAGCGATAAAAGATCTTGATACTTGTTTCGAACCTAAGACTGATCCAGAGATGTTTACAATGGGACCATCGATTCGAGATACTACAGAACCCAGGACAAGATTTGATTCTCTGCTTAATAAACAAGAGGAAACTTTTAGTAAACTGCAAGAACTAGAAAAATATATGTTTAATATTGGTATTATCAATGAAATAAAATGCGAGTCACATTATTGGTATGAATTATTTTGAGATATGTTTGCGAAGCAAAGCACTACGTGCCTCTTTTTCTATTGCGGAGCAGGCCCGTAGGGGCGAGTTACACTCATGGCTCTTCGAGCCTATACATCCCATGTATGTCGCATTATAACGATAACTATAGATATGGTTAAAAAGGTAATTTTTTTTCGTACATAAATAATATCGGAGTTTAAATAGATAATTCCTAATACCTAGTCCACGCATCCTGTAGCCGATCACTTTTTTTGCCTATATTCCATGTACGTCTCAATATAACAAACCACATAACCGCAATAATTAACAGAGTAAGAAAAATATACGCCGATAGTGGTGACATCAAAGTGCTTGCCACAATGGAAATTGTTCCTACTCCTATTGGAATCTGGGAATTCGATTCAATCAAAGAGGACATGTTATTTTCCGGCTGTGCAAGGTAAGGAGTCACGTTCAGTATTTCTTGAGACGGGGTATAATGTCCTCACTAATTTCGTTAATGTTAGTTCCCTCACTTACCTTAGGACTAATCTCAGTATCATTTTTTGATAGTTCCGTAATCTTATCGGTATATGCCGATACATTACAATCGATTTTTTCAGCTTGATCTGCAGAGCAGTGCACTCCATGCCCCATATTTTTCTGCGTGCAAAATATTTACTTAGATTTTTTCTAGGTTTACTAGACACGTAAGTGTCATTGCTTTGCAATACTGCAGATATATCATCAGACTTGATTATGGAACTTTGTTCCTCGCTTTGCGTATTCTTTATTTTGGAAGCAATGGGGCTTTGCCCCTCATCATTCCCACCAACTACAGGTTTTGGCCGTGCTAGCTCTGCTGATATAGCCTCCGATTTTAGACACTCAAGTTCACTGACTTTTGAAGCTAACTCACGTTCCACTTCAGCCATTTTAGACTTGAGGGATAATATCTCAGATTCTTTTTTCGATGAGTTGTTTTGAATTGAAATCACATCTTTCTGGGCTGAAGATAACTTACCTTCCAATATCTTAATCATGACTCAAGCGATCGAATTTTCTTGGATTTTATATTATTCTCAGCCTTGTATTCAGCAATAAAAATACATCCTTTTGTGTATTATGAGAAATAAGGTTGGTATTTTCATTTTGTAGTTGCTTATACTCATTAATAACTTGCAAAGCGTGGGTGCGTAACTTTTGAATCTCGGTATTATTTCGTAACGCGTCCCGATTCCACCCCTTTTTTCCCCGATCAAACGGTTTTATTTGTTTTATGTATTTATCCTGCAATTTCTCACTAAGCTTATTGATTTCGGCTTTGGATTTGATAGCATCGTGTAGTTTTTTTTCTAGCTCCTCCTCACGTATACTACCAAGTCGATGGCCATTAATATTTTGTAATGTATATACATTTGTCATATTAGCACCTTGCGTTGCTACGTTAATAATAGATAATATACAGATGTTAATAAAACTAATTTTGTTAATAACTTCTATTATAATATAACGATATTTAATGTTAGATAACCTAGGTTATTAAAAAAAATATATTGGATATTGTTGAATTAGGTTATATATTAATTTTTATTTCAGTTTTCTAGTACTTTGTATTAGTTTTATTAGCTGAAGGTTTGTTTACGCTAATAACACGTATTTCATATTTATCTATAATGATAGATGTTACTTTTTATTGTACTATAATAATAGATATCATTTTTTATTATTCTAAAACATTAAATATCATTTAATATTGGACAAAAATCAAACCATGAATACACCATTTCTAAAATCATATTATCGCCGAAAATCTAACTTCTGAGCAGATAGAAACAATTAGATCGCTCAAAGATAAGGTACCTAAGTATAGAATTATGAAAGAATTCCATATTAATGAACATCGAGTAGATGATATATGGGAAAATCGAGAGCGCCAACAACAAATAATACAAAGTACCATTTCCACCGAAATATTACCTATATCTACAGCAACTTCATCTGAGAATTTTAATCAAATTGAAAGAAAGACTTTATATCCAGAATCTACCTCTCCTCTTAATGCGGAAATAAAAAAGAGAAGTTCCAAATCCCGGTCTAAATCTGTATTATGTAGACCCGAAGGGTCATTGCTTTGCAATAATAAGCTCCTTGAGAGCAACTCTTCGAGTCATGAGCTCCGCTCTCGCATATCTGATCCAATATCTACTAATAACTCTGATGTAGTAATATCCACACTTAATGAAACAGAAAAAATAAGTAGTGAAGAACTGGATGCATTATATGAAAAAGAAGCCAGAAGAGATGAGAAAAACGAAGCAAATATGATTCGCCTATTAGCTACTACTTAGATAAATCTATCTTTTGTTATCATCTCTGGAAGAGATATGTTCGAATAGCTTTTCATAACGCATTTGTAACTTTTCACAAAGATCATTTATTTCAGCTTTAGACTTGAGAGTAATATATAGCGATTTTTCTAACTCTTCATAGGTCATGCGTTTTTTTTAAAGTCGAATTGTCAGAATCTGAGCTAAAACCCGCAGGAGCATGCCATTCCTCCAATGGTTCATTATTACCCTCATTGCTATTGGCATTCTGTGAAATTTGATCGGATACCAAAGGTTTATTATTTTGAGATATGGTGGCACAATTTACTTCGATCTTATTCTTGACCTTGTGCATGTTTATTGGATAAAATACTCTTTGCCATTACACACGAGTTTTAATTCTCGTTTTGATGCAAGTAAATCATAATCATATTTGTCTAGGAGAGTATTTGGTAAAATTAGCATTGGCTTGGGGTATTTCACTACCGCAAAATCGGAATATATAGTACAGCCTCGGGCAAAATTTATTGGTACGTTGCGAACAATTCCAAGTGATTCAGTAGGGACAGTAGCAATACCTCTAAGATCGTGTTTTTCCCTTATATCAATATCTAATTTTAATCGTTCAGCTATATTCTCAGACATGATTGGAAAATTTGCACCAGGATCTACTGTGGCCGCTGGAATTACCAATCGTTTAATTTTGCATTTTGTAGTTACGACATCCGTAGCTGGATCTTTTTTTGAACAAAATCAATCTCCATAGGATCATTTATAATCTCTTCTTCCTCTGACTCAGGTGTATCTGGAACTGTAATACAGATGTTAGATCGGCATATACTACAGAATAAATTAGAAGGTCATGGAACTTTTCCCGAAATCGATTGCGTAACACAGATGTTCGATCAACACATCACATGCTAAGTTCTAAATTACCATGCACGGACTGGTAAACACTACGGACATTATGATTTCGCGTATTTCGACTCCGAAATTGTCAACAGTGTTGACAAGTTCGGGCGAATACCACGTTCCAACAAATTCCCCGACAGGTGAAGTAACATCATTGATAGTGATTTTTCAACAAAAGGAAACACCATTATGAGCAATTCTAACCTTCATGCCTTATCCTCGCCTAAATCAGCGATGGACACGATTCAAGGT